ACATTCCTAATCGAGTATGACAGTATATATTCATCATGGGATGATAATCTTAACGTTGTCTGTCAACCTATCGTAATCGTCTTCCTTATATGGATTTGTAACCGATAATGTAAGCAAACACATATACAGAGTTGTTATTCATGTTGGGCCAAAAACAACCCAAAAATAAATTATCAATCATCGCTTAAGTAAACTTGAAGAAGGAGAATAATTAAGACTTAAGTTGGACTCTTCACAAATGTCTTCACACTCGTATTGAATGCTTTAAAAATACACTATTTTTGGAGGGTTCGACACGGTCTGGTCGACATTTTTGAAGAGTCCGAACAACACACAGATTAAGACAACAAGAGAAAGTCTATAAATATATTATCAAATTTCAATGTAGTCAAAGGTCTAATTATTCTTTGCTTGTTTCATGTCCAAAAGAATTCCACTTGCCCAAATATTTAAATTACATTTTTTTATTATCATTAAGAAAATTTATTTAAATGGCTTTGATTAATGAGATAGAGTATTTATTAGGGTTAGAGTAGAAAACAGACAGCCCTATACTGCCAACTCACCAATTTCTCTTAAAATAAATCAATTTGAAACAAAAAATAAAAATTCCAAAATTGGAATTAAAGACTGAAATTCTTTAGAAATATAATACAAAAAGCGAGACTTCAAAAGTATCCACAATTCTATCCACTAGTACTGCAGTGAAACAATCTCTATAACAATATCGTTCGTTTTGAAAACTTTTGATTGCCATAAAAATCATTTGATATACAATTATAATAATATTCGGCTATTATTGGTTAAAAAAACCATAAAATTAAAATTTTCATTTTTTTTAATATTATGCATGTAAGAATTTTAATGTAGCTTAATTAATCACTTCTTAATGATAAAAATTTATATTCATATAATATTCTTTGTCATATAATTATAATAAAGTATCAAAATATTTGATCGGTATTTCTAAAGCTATTATCGGTCATCTTACATAGAGATAAAATATAACATAAAATATCAGTTTCGTGAAAAATTTAATTGTTATAATAAAGTGTTGTTATATAAAAATGTTATAGAGAGACCTGTTCCGATAGACTTTTCATTGGAAATTTATGCGAAGTAGCTAGTGATTCCATTAAAGAAAATATTTTCCCTAATAAAAAAAAAGCTAATAAAATAGAAGTGTAGGGTAGCTGACTCGAACATCATTATTTACGAGAAGAATTGTTTCTAATCAAAATATATTCATATTTTATTTAATAATAAATTTGAAACAGTCATCAAGGTACCTATAAGAAAATAAAAATTATTGACAACTACTATTACCAAAACAATAAAATTAATAGTGTGAATTTCAAATTGTTACACAACCAACTAGTCCTGCAAGATAATTAAGATCCATGTGTTTAGTAAACATCATTAATTAGATTAGTACCTATTTGTTGCATATATTATTGTTGGCCATAAAATATTTATCATTCCATTTCAAGTATATAACTAATAATTATTATATTCATAAATTGACTAATCAATGTAAAAAGATTCCCTTCTTTTTTGTTTCTCGATTAATATTTGATATTGGGTCGACTGAATTCGAATTCACATATTATAGGGTCTATTTCTGAGGACCGTGCTTCCAATGGAATTCTTTTTTCCATTCCAAAATGGACCAAACCCGATATCACTAATCAAAATGAAGAAATTTCAACCATCTTGCCATAACTCAGATTAGTCGTTAAAAGTTTTTTTTCATCAACCTACAAGTAGGTTGTCTCTAGTTAAATATTTTTAACTAAGGTATATTGATTAACGGCAACGATATCTATGCCACAAGCAACAAAGTCCATACAATTAAATTTGTAAATGATATACAACTTGGGAATAAAGAAATTAGGAAGTTATACTACCAGTGGAAAATTTTCAGCTAGAACAAAATTCAGATATATATATTTTTAAAATGTCTGTATTATAAATATTCATCATAAAATTGACTTATAATATTTCATGATGATTTTAAGACTATCGTAAGGTTTATTGCAATCGTTCTTTCTTTATTCAGGCTTGAGACCAATGATGTGTAAGCTATGCAAATTAGCTCAAACACAAAGGTCACTGACGCGCACATTTCACCCCATCGTGTTTTGCTAATATTACATATAAATTCTTTTGACCTACTTTTTTTTTTGTCAAGATTACACCCCATAGATGTAAGATGTACACAGACATTATTTCTACCTTAATGAGGGAGAGAAGCTGTTTCTGAAGGACTCTCGATTCAAAAGAAAACTATCCAACATTGATTATAAGAAAGAAACAACAAAATAGCAAGAAACAAAACCATCTTTGTAACTATATATATATTAAGAAGCATATAAGCTAAGTAATAACAACAATTAATAACTGTAATCTCACAAGTATGGTTTGAGCAGGGTAGAATGTATACCATCCTTGTCCCAACCTTTTTGAGGTAGAAAGTGTTTCCGATGAACCCTCAACACAAAAAAGAAAGTATTCGACGCAAAATTATAAGAAAAATGATAACAAAAAGAAGATATAAAACAATCTCTATATCTATATTGGTTATTAAATTTGGCATGGTAAAGTTATTAAATGTATGTGTATTTATGTGAAAATAAATTAATAAAGTGGTGAAATATATGCAATAAAGTAAAGTTCTTGTATAATAATGGAGAATATAGGCTACTTTGTAAATTCAATTAATGCCATTAAGAGGAAAAACAAGGAAATGCAGCGAAAATCACTAACTAAGCATAAAACGCATTCACTAAATGCGAGTTATGCATAAAATTTGAAATTTTCAAAGATGTACGGTCCAAAATAAATATTACGTTATGTTTCTCAATATATAATATCGGGTAATGCTAAATGACCAGAAATTTAAAAAGTCTATAATCTCTTTTTTATTTGAAAATAAACGGATCTTTTTATCATTTTTTTAATTAAAAGGTATTAAAGTTAAAAGGGTAAAAATGTTCAAAAAGGTAAAATAACATAGTGTGAAATATGTTATTTTACCATTCTGGCCAAAAGAATTTTTCCATATAATATCATACAATATTATATCTTGGGAAATTCATATTATTTTACTAGATAATATATAAATTATCTTGACATAATTTTTTTTTTGGCTTCATACCAAACACACCCTTTATGTAAAATATTATATGTATAACCATGTATAACAAGTATATAATATCTATATATCGGTTAAAATAAAAAAAAATTCTTTTATACAACACAACAACGCACAAATCTCTTTTATAACCATATATAACAAGTATATAATATAAATATCATTACCCTTTGTTTGGAATTGAAGGAAATTAAGAAAAAGGAAGGAAAATGAATGAGAAAGTTAAAGCAAAAAAAGGTTTTATTTCCTCTATTTCGATTTATAATATTTTCTATCTGAAATTTCGTGGCATAGTGAGTGGTCTCACATTCTTTATAGTATGTGAGAGCAAGAAAATACGTCAAAAAAATATTCATTTAAATAAGCTCACTTAGACAAAGTTAAAAGAAGGAACGACTTCACTAAGCTCACCCATATATCCTAGCTAATCTATATAACTCTCTCCTTCTTTATTTGGACTTGGGACTGATAATTTTTTGACAAGCTCACGTAGGCGTAATTAAAAGTAGCAGGATGCAACTTGAGGACTTTTGCTTGGGCATCCATCCTAACACTCTTGTTTATAAACATGGTACACTTAATTTTGAAATTTAATTCAATCTGATGCATTGAGTAGAAAATATATTAAAAATAAACTTTTACTACCTTTTATTTAATTTTCTTATAATATTGACATGAGATGAATTTATAAATCGCGTAATATATGGTCCCCAAATCAAGAAAGAAGGGAGCAAAAACTTTGCTTTCAAAAGAATTTTCCTTCAATAATAATAATTCATCAGTATGAGGAATTTGGTCCATTTGTAATACTATTTGTCTTACATTTTTTTCAAAATAAAAAATAAAAAAGTGCATTCAAGCATTTATTTATAAAAAAGAATTCTTGATTATGACTTTGTGTACAATATATTTATAGCATGCATCTGACAGAAAAAAACAATCATGCTAACAAAGCATAATGAACTAATTGGAGTAACTACCAAGATATCAAAATTATTTTTTCTCAACATACATGACTCAAAAAGTCCATTCCATCTTCATGTTATGTTGCTTATATAAAAAATCTTGTCGCACCTATATAAATTCGATAAAATTTAGGTGTGGATATGAGATACGATAGTAAATTTGATCAATTTAACTTGGGTGTGATTTGACTATACATCCACGATCAAGAAGTATAATTTAATTTAATTTAGGTTTATATCATATATATTAACGTAAAGTACTATAATATTTTGCTATCATATGAGCTAATAACTTATAATTGAAAAATATATTAAGTGTTTACATAAAAATTTCATTATGTTATCTTTAATTTAATTTAACTTCAATTGATTGTAAAAAAATATACCTATATATATTGTAAAATATGCATTTCAACCGTATTTTAGTTTTAAATTACTCCATACATATGAGACTGAAGTTACAAAAAAATTGTGTTTGAAGCACTAGCAAACTTCGAACAAGTTAAATGGAGGCGACCAAATAGAATGCCCCATAAAAATCTAATTATCATCAAACAATTCAAAATTTCTAGACTTTTCTTAAACAAGCCCAATCAAAATACATTTTGGTTTCGAAGGGGACGAATTGACCTTTCATAACGCTTATTTAGTCATACTAACATGACCCCATTGATTAATTTTCGATCAGAGCTTAAGAAAGAGACAAAATATTGAGGCAAATCTAGCTCTCCGACAAACTAGAACACGAGTGGAGGCTATCAATCCGATTTCAAAACTAGTTGGTACATTCGAATAATAAAATAAAAAAAGTGTTTTGGGCTTTCTATTGTTTTGTATACATGGGCTATCACAGCCCAAATGGATAATGGGCTTCATAATCTTATCTGAACAGCCCATTTCAGAAGCCTCTTACATGTTCGATGAAATGCCTCAAAGAGAGTAAATTATCCAAGTTCTTGATCAATCAACATTCTTGGTTAATGGGAATCTTCAATTTGGTGTTATAGTTTAGTATAAAGATTGAAAATGGAGAAAATAATGGTGTTGCAGTGTAATTCATCTTCTCCATTTACGCAGCTATGGCCAACTACAGTTACAGCAACGGCTTATACCTGCAGTTTTAGCTGCTCTAATGTTGTTTCTTTCAGATTTCCAAGAAGAATTAACATGGGGTTTCATTCTTTTCAAGAAATTTCTAGAAGGAATAGTTTAGTTAACTTAAGAAAAGCTACCTTTTGGGAAGATCCTGATGATGGTAGTGATAGTGAGGAAGAAGAGGAGAGTGAAATGGAAGAAGAAGAAGAAGAAGAAGAAGAGGAGGAAGATATGGATGTTGAGAGTAGCTTTGAATATGAAGTAAATAAAGCTATGGACAATTCTACAAATGGTTTGTCTACCAGGGAAGATGAGTTTGTGAAAGGTACTTCCTTTTTCCTGTTTTCAACTTGAAAAGTGGTAGTTTATTCAACAACAACATCATAAGCAGGGTAATTACACTAGTCGGGTATGGGGAGGATAGAGTGCACGTAAACGTTAGATTAGAAAACATGGAAACTAAATCGTAGAGATTTTATATATATTGAGAAGCTGGTTATAGTAGAGATTGGATAATAGATGGTTTGAGCAAATAATGTTAATAAGTCGTTTCTTTCTTGATTTAGTTTTGTACCCAACACCTCTTGTCAGTGTCGAAGCTGGGATTTTTACAAAGGATTTCAATATATAAAGAAGTCAATAGGATTCAACATCTAGTAATATTAACCTTCCGTCAAAGGGGGGTTCGGATGACCCCCTTGTAGCCACGTGGCTCCGCCCCTGTCTCTAGTGATTGTCATTCTAGGAAAGTGTCTGATATATTTTGAATCTCTAGTATCTGTTCTAGTTGTTCGGAAAGCAGGGCGGATGTAGTGTATATGTTATGGGTTAGTCCAATACCAGTAGTTTTGATTCAGAATTCAGATATTGTATGTGTTAAAAGATGCACTAGAAGTACATATGATTAATTTTGAACCTAGTAAATTAGATGAACTGTGTTAGAATTCCAATCTCGCACCCATAAAGTTCAAATCCCGAATCCATCTCTGATTCTGTAGGTTCAATTAGCTGCCCCCACTCTCCCCCAAAAGAAGTTCATTATGCTGGGAAGTGAAAGATAAAAGTATTAGTATCTACTTTTTGTTTTTATTTCAATATTTGAACAGCTTTTGAGCCCAGAGATATACTATTATTACAAAACGAGGAAACTGAATCCTAGAGATATTCTGTTTGGGAAACTAGAGTAGAAATTGAAGAGTGGATGGTTCTAGTGAATGATGCTAATAAGTTGTGTTGCATAATTTCGTCCGCAATTTTTCTTCTAACAAGCTTCAGTTGGCAGGAGCTTTAGTGCATCAATTCAACTTATCTTTTGAAAACCCGATTTAGTTTCTTTTTTCCTTGTGATGCAGTATCTCGTGTCTTTTGGATCTCTAGAATCTGTTCTAGTAATCTCGATTGTTTCACGTACAGTTATCTGTTACCTTTCGAATCTCAAATATCTGAAACTAGCATGTTCTTTTGTTTTTCAGAGGTTGAACAGCTTTTGAGCCCAGAGGAAAGGGAAATTTTGTATCGCAATCAAACTCTAGAGCTGGATAAGATATCAACGGTAAGTTCCAAGGAGATTCAGCTGCTTCTTTCATGTTAACATTCTTCTCTGATAAATAGACTAGTATGCAAGCTACGGACTTGCTATTCATACCGTCTTAGATACTACCTACAGTCTTTAGACACCAAAATCCACATTATTCAAAAGAAACTATGGATATGCTAGTAGAATTGCATATTCTTTTGCTGGTTTCTGGAGCAAGTCCTGATACTCTCGAACGTGCTTCTACTCCAGGAAAAATGGAACCCTCTTCACACTTTTGCACTAGCAGGGCAGATACGATTTATGGATAGACTTCTAGAGGAGGGTCTTGATATTGATGCCGTTGACAAGGTATTTACTATATCCATAATATAGATGGTGTTGATTAACGTTCAATACTTGTTTGTTCGTTGTGTTTGAAGTAGTTATTAAGTTAATTGGTGACAGGAAGGGCAAACAGCTCTTCACCACGCCGTTTTTGGTAAAAAGGAGGCTGTGATCAGTCATCTTCTAAGAAAAGGTGCAAATCCTCAAGTTAGGGATACGGTGAGACAACTTGTTTTTGCTTTTCAACTCCATCAACAACTTGCTTAAAATTTCATTGCATTGGGTCGTATTTAGATCTTTTTCATCATGTTAACAGGATGGTGTCACCCCCCTACATTATGCAGTTCAAGTAGGAGCCTTGCAAACAGTTAAATTGTTGATCAAATACAAGGTTGACGTGAATGTTGCTGATAATGTAAGTGGATGTTTTATTTCATTTTCTGACATTTTTGTGGTCTTGTTAGCTTAGCGACGAGTTATTCTTTCTTACAGGTTGGTTGGACGCCACTGCACGTGGCCATGCAGAGCAGAAACAGAGACATAGCAAAAGTTCTTCTTGTCAATGGAGCAGATAAGTACAGAAAGAATAAGGTAAATTTATGTATAATTGTAACTTGAGCACGGGACTAGAGTTATTGGTGGTGCAATCTTTAAGGCTTAAAATGGTGGATGAACTATGAAAATGGTAGATGGACTATATTTTGAATCTCCTTAGTGGAAATCCCGACTTCACCAATAGATGTGCCAATCCAACTCAAATGGTAGATGAACTATAAAGATTTATAATCCACTATAATCAAAGTGAATATGTATATACCATAAAACAAATTACATGAAAGTGGAAACCTACATTAGGCCGAACCGAACTAGAGAAGTAGTTCGAAAAAAGAAATAAGTGCTTCAACAACGATTTCTTCTTCTTCTTTTTTCTCAAATGTCTTCACTGAACCCCATTTATGGGGAGATTCTTGAAGTTCAACTATGATTTACACGGCAATAGACACATTCTATCTAGCAGAGGAGCAGCTTATAAACTCGCCTTCTTGGAAAGATGGAATTGATGAAGTTACTGAAACAACACTTCGAATCTATGGTTGTGATCTCATCCAAGAAAGTGGGATTTTGCTCAGATTACCTCAAGCTGTAATGGCCACTAGTCAAGTATTACTTCATCGCTTTTACTGCAAGAAATCATTTGCCCGTTTTAATGTGAATAGTGTTGCAGCTAGTTGTGTTTGGTTTGCATCAAAACTCGAAGAAGCCCGAGAAAACCAAGGCAGGTGCTTGTTGTTTTCCACAGAATGGAATGTAGGAGAGAAAACTTACCTATAGAACATCTGGAGACATCTTCGAAGAAATATATTGATTTGTAAGCAGACCTAATCATAAGAGAGAGGCATCTTTTAAAAGAGATGGGTTTCATCTGTCATGTCGAGCATCCTCATAAATTTATATCAAACTACCTTGCAACTCTTGAAACACCTGCAGAATTGAGTCAAGAAGCTTGGAATCTTGCAAATGACAGTTTCAGACAACACTCTGTGTAAGATTCAAGAGCGAGGTTGTGGCCTGTGGAGTTGTATATGCTGCAGCCCGTAGGTTTCAAGTGCCCCTCCCAGAGAATCCTCCTTGTGGAAGGCATTTGATGCAGACAAGGCTGATATTGATGAAGTTTGCAGAGTTCTCGCTCATCTTTACAGCCTTCCAAAGGCACAATGCATTCCTGTGTGCAAGGAAGGAGGCTCCTTTGCTACATCAAACAGATCAAGGGACTCGCCATCGCTTCCTGTATCTAAGGAAGGTTTGTTGGATGGAAGTTGCTAAAGATGCAGTAACAAAAGCTGCCCTCGATAAGTTAAAAGGACTCAAAGAAGAGCGATGATGACTCTAAAAGCATGTCTTCAAAAGGGGAGTCAAAAGAAGACCCTGGAAGAGCTGACAATAGAACATATGCTGGTGGAGAAAAGAACAAGGAGAGAGAGATGAGAGGGACAAGGAAAGACTAAAGTCTCGTGAACATGATTGGGGAAGGGAATCTGATAGGGAAAGGGACAGAGAAAAATCCAAGGAAAGGAATCATCATTCAAGAGACGGAGGTCACTCAGAGAAACCGAAACATCACTCTTCTCAAGATCGTGATTACCAGTCTTATTCATCGCGGGAGAAGGATCGTCGTAGACACCATTAGCTTGGAACGGCCTGGCAAAATGTCTCCATGCCAAATATGTTTGTGGTTTTTCTGGAGCATAGCTGCAGCTCTTTGCATATAGCTGAGAGTGCCTTCTTCATGAAACATTGGTTTTACCTCACCTATATATATCATCTAAGGTCTCCTGTTATCGAGACATTGGTTTTACCTATTTGCTTTTAGTTCCCCTGAACAATTGACTTACCTTTGCTGTCCAAATTTCTTGTAAACTAAAGCAGGATTGTTAACTTTCTGCACTACATTTATAAACTTGCGTAACTGGAAAAAAAATGCGTATGCCATAGTTTACTAATACACATTTTCACTTTAGTTTATGACTTAACCATGGTACAGTAGTATGATTTGGTGTAAACACGGGTTGCAGGTAAGATTTTTCTGATTATTTAGGTGGGATGAAAGCGGATTTTTCATAGCGGGGGACTTCTCTTTGCACAACTTATACCCTACCTATGTTTCTTTTTTCTTAAAGATTATGTATGCACACGAAAATTTCCTAACTTCTGAACATTTACATTTCACAGGATGGTAAGACACCCCTTGATATTAGCCTTTGTTATGGCAAAGATTTCAAGTCCTATGATCTGGCTAAGTTACTGAAGCTTGTTCCTGCTAATAGAGAGCTGTGATTGGCTTCTACAATTTACGTGCAGTTCTTCCGAAATCTCAAGAAGATTAGAACCGTGATGTTGACATTGACATCTATTCTTCTGCATTTTTACTCCCAGCAAAGAAGAAAACAATCAATTATAGTCTAAGAGGACGTGTTGAGACGGATACATAGAAGCACAATTCAGATCAACTTTCGGGCATGGAATCACTAGAATTGTAAAATATTTGGGCAATTGTGCAGCCAGTCTTGTAACAGATTTGTAAAAATAAAACAGAACCTGTTTTCTTATGATATATATGTCCCAGTGCTGATTTTAGCACACTTTATTGAGCAAGAATCAGGTGATTAGGCAAGTCATGGATTTACTTCTTCGACAATGACAGTGTACGTTGACTTTACCCCTACCTCATGGAGAAGAAGAACCTTGGCTCAACTAAAGCGAATCATGGTAATGAAAAGGAAAAACAGCAGTGAAACCCATTACTTCTATGAAAGTGTCAAATAACTTTTTTAAACATGGATCCTGATATGGCCGTAGCATATGATTTACTTGCTAACAAGCATATGGAAAATATTTTAACGCAAGTTAAGTAGTATGCGATAAATAGGTTACACAGTTTACAGTAGGTACTGCAATCATATTTGTTATCCCATCAAACACTGCCTCTAGCATTTTACAGACCGTGATGTGCTAGACATCGTTTGATCGGTGCTTTGAATAGACGGAGGTTTACTACAAGTACAATAACATCTAAAACAATGCACTTGCTGATTCTAAGGAACAGGTCAATCTCCGCTTGCACAACCTTTACAGCCGCAATGGACACATTCTATAACCTTCTCCTCCCTCAGATGCTGTGGAACTCGGCAGACACAGGTTGTTTGAAAGTTGTGATCCCGCGGTTGCATGCACCTCAAACAGCAGAGACGTTCATAACCAGGCTGTAATTCAAAGGCAAAACCATCAAAATTGTGACAAAGTATACACAACTATGGAATCCCCCCCACACACACAGAGGAGAAATGTACTAAACAAGAGGCAAAACGGAAATACATTCAGAAAGAAGAGATACACATTGACATATGTTCATGCCAGTGCACTAAAAAAAAGTAAAAGGTAACACAAAACTGAAGCAGAGAGGATGAACATACCTTTTTCCATTTCGCAATCAAATTTCGATCAGCATATCCTTGATCCATGCAAAACTCATATAATTCCTTGGAGATCTCTTTCCTCCTGTGAAAGAGATCAAAAATATACCGGCTCTTCTGATGAGCAATTTTGAAAATAGGCCACAAAGCTTCACATTTTCTTTTGCCATCATGAGGATCATTTTCAGCTGCACCAGCAGTCAAACAACAATAAAATTCATATTGACGTTAGGAGGTGACATCATTTTGACTTCATAGAAACAACAAACACAAAAATAGATTTTTATGACAATACCTTCCCTCATTTTTGCTTGTAGTTCACTAAGAGTAGGTTCAATCAACTCCCATCCCTCTGGATATTTGACACGGTTTGTTTTTACTTTAGGCATGGCCTTAGCTGCACCAAACACACATAAATGTAAGACTTACTTATCAGTGACCTTAACAGAAGAAAATGCATGTAATTGTAAAACATAACTGACAAATTTATCTCAACTTTCGACTTAATCCAGAGAAACGCCACAAATAATTTTGGTAAATTATAGAAGATGATAGCACAATTGGGTTCCAAAGCACCATTTGACCAACAAAAGCCAAACTGATTTTCTTATGTGATCATGAAACACTACTCAATACATAATCTAGTAAAATTACACGAGCGGGCTTTTATGCTCGGTGCTTCATGCTTAAATTTCAGGGCCAATCATGCTGAATTATGTGTTACAAATTCAAGAAAATTACAACTGAAGGGGAACTTGTTCCCGATGGGAAAGAAGAAACAAGTGCTCATGATTGCAGGTGACATGATAGAAGAAATATATGCTGGCTGATATCTCTTTCAGTTTTTCTTTTGTTTCTTTCCCTTGTTGCCAAATACACAGAGCAAAGACGTTTAACAACTTAGTAAAGAGGCTACAGGGGAGTACAAAGAAAAAATTCTGTGAACTGCAAGCCATTAGTACTCGTAATTAACATGACAATAAGGGAGATTAAAGATAATAAGTTTTGTTTGTAATGATATCCCCTAGGCAAATATGATAACAATATTAAATAAAAACTTTACCAATTAAAAGAATAAAATGAAACAAAATTCTTCACAAAAATATAACAAAGATCTTTTGGATTTCTCCACATCTTGGCACTATTACACGATAATAGGTCATAATAAGAATTTTAGCAGTAGTGCCAACAACAACATACCCAATTAATCCCTGTGGGTCCAGGGATGATAGGATGCACCCTACACTTGTGGGGTAAAGGGGTTGTTTCCAATAGACTCTTGGCTCAAAAGAAAAGTATCCGACGTAGGATGATCGTGAGAAAATAAAACAGCAAAATTGTAAAGATACAAAACAAGTACATCAACATGTAGTAATACACATTGAAGTATAAGAAACTACGAGATAATTAAATAGTACTACTAAAAAGGAGAGGAAGAGGCTAGCCCGCTACCTCTCCCACATATTAGCAGCAGTGCCATTAACACAAATTAGCATGTCATGTTAACAAAGTTGAGTGTAGAACAAATTAGCAACCCAACTGGTATCAGAGCAGCTGCAGCGCAGCAGCAACACTAAACTGAAGGGCCTCAGTAAGTGTAGTTTACTTTAGGCTTTGGTCACCCAAGCTTGGGCGTCAGATGTGTGAGGATAGGGAATTCGGTTGGGCTGATAGAATCTTGAAAAAGAAGAGATTAACCTTAAGGAGCCCAGCAGAAGCTCTTTATAAACTTTGGTTAAAAACCAACCAGAAAACCGAATGCTTGACAGTGACAACTAAACTGAAATACGAAAAAGAAAAAAAACTACAAACAAAATTGACCATGTATCTCTAATCTCCCAATCTCTTCACATATCTCAGCCATCACTTGCAATAGTCTCCATCCCTTATTACCCAATCTTGTTCCACCTCTCTAACTTATTTATTTATTTAGGCTCATTTCTGGTTCCTATTGCCTCAATTGTTGACGTTTAACGTCAATTGTGGCAGCACAAATATGACATCAAAATAATGAAATATAAAGACACTGATGATAAATATATTGTCTCAACTTTTGCTTCACAATGCATTTCCTTTTGGAATAGCTATTCTATATTTAGAATACATGCCGTTTAGATTTAGTTCTTTTAAATGGTTTTCTTCTTTAGATCACCAAATATGTAGCACCGTGGTTTTGGTTTTGTTGTTTCATCAGAAACTTGTATGATATATAGGATTACTCTTTACTTGCACTACGGAAGACCGAGACTACAGTTTTGCACCCAAGGGTGTGACTTAGTGTCGCCCCTTCATAAGAGGTTCATTGGCAAGGAAAAGTATGCCTTAGAACCTTGATGTCGCTCAACACGTTTTAAGCCTCGCACCAGGGCTTGTGCCTTTTTCACGGTGGCTACAACCGTGATTGTTTGTGCATTTTTTACTCCAATATAAATGATTTGTCTCTTAAGAAAAATTAGGGTTTCTCGGTCTAGCAACAGTAACATAATCATGTCCAAAAACTCATAAACCAAATTATACATTAAAATTGCAATTTAGGGTTTCTCTCGGTCTTGCAACAATAACATAATCACGCCCAAAATCTCATAAACCAAATTATACACCAACTTGACAGTAATTGCAATTTACTTTTTTTCACTATAATTTAAATGCAGCAAATAAAATGTTACTTCCGAATTTCAGAAAATTTAAACTAAATTCCTACAACACTATTCTCAAATTCAGCAAACATTGTGAGATAATCGAATACAAAAGAACTTATTAAAAGCTTAAAAATTTAACCAAATATAATCCACTAGAAAGGAAAAGGACACTTTAATTGTTCAAATACCACAAAAGCAACTTACCGGTGTCGAATATTAACTTCCGATCAAACTTAACGACGGCGTCAGAGGCGGAGGAAGCTCCGGTGAGGTCTGAATCTGGAAACTTCGATTCTTATAATAAAAAAAAAAAGTTGCTTTTGTTCTCTGCTAATTCAAGTCGGATCTTGGAGCGGAATACGTGGGTAACCCGAATCCGGATATGATTTGACCCTTTTTAAATAAAGAAGGGAAAATGGTCTGATATACCCCTCAACTTTGTAATTTAGAGCTGATATACCCCTCGTTATGAAAGTGACTCATATATATCCCAACTTATATACAAATGACTCACATATACCCTTTTCCTCTAACGGAAATGAAAAAAATTAATTTCAGGTTAATTTGTTTTATTTTTAAAAAAAAAAATATTATCCCATATGAGTATATTTAATCCTCCTCAAACATATATATATTTTTTAACTTTTTTTTTGTTTCAATGACTAATTTAGATTTATTATTTTGATGGTCAAATTTATTTATGTTTCACTAATATTCTTGTAAAACTTATTATAGATGACCAAATTTTTTTTCTTCAAATACAAAAAATTAAATTTACAATATAGACAAAAAAAAAATAGTTTTAAATTATAATATAGCCACAAAAAATAGTTTTAAATTTTTTTCTTTTACACTAAGGAATGAAAGAAAAAAATAAAACAAGAATAAGAAACTCAAATAATTATAATAAAAGAAGTCAAAAAATAATTTATGTATGTAAAAGATTAAAATATACCTTAAACTTTGCTAGAAGAATCATATATACCCCTAAATTATTTTTAAGAAAATTAAAAGTCAAAAATATAAATTTAAAACTAACTTTTTCACTTCCGTGAAGGGTATATGTGAGCTCATTTTGTAATGGTAGGGATTTATGTGAGCCGTTTGTATAACGATAAGGGTATATATGAGCCACTTTCATAACGAGGGGCATATCAGCTCCAAATGACAAAGTTGAGGAGTATATCAGGCCCTTTTTCAAATAAAGAATAATGTGAATACATATAACTTTTGATTAGTTACTTTTTGTGAATAATATTAGACTCGATTTCTTATATTTGCTAATATATAATTCAATCTTATAAATAAATTATTAAATTATGGTCTAATATCTATAATAACTTATAAAATTCATATGTTGCTTAACATTTTATTAAACTCCCTTCGTCTCATTTTATGTGACACTGTTTGACTTGACACTGTATTTAAGTAAAAAAAGGAAGATTTTTGAAACTTATGGTTTAAAACAACCAATTCATTTCATCAAAGGTAAAAGAAGAATTTAAAGTTAAAATGTTTCTAATTATAGTA